TTAAAATAAATATAAAATAATTTATTCAATAAGAGGATTTTTGATTAAAAAAGTAATGATTACATCTCAAAATATTAAAAATTATTTATATTTTTGAACATTCAAACCTTTAAAAAATGTTTTATATTTTTAAATGGGAGAATTGTATTTTATTTCAACAAAATTTATTTTGATGTACAATGGAAACATACCACATGACCTGTCATTAGGTCTCAACCTACAATATTCTTCAAGCGGGCCTCATAGATTATAGAACATAGAATTTATATTATAGCTGGCTATATGTTAATATGTGTAATCCAATTTGTTATTTGGTCAAGTCAAACTGGGACATGCGAATTGAAAAATTGGGCAAAGTTGTTTCAAATCTTACGAGAGCTAGTTATTCACACGGAAAATGTTGAAATTTCTTGGTTCCTATAAAACATACAAGTTAGAATTTGTTAGAGGACCTTTTTTTCCTCACTTAAAAAGTTTAATTTTTTGCAAATTTACATGGCCATCCTTCAAACTTGCCGCTGAGTGGGGAGGTAATGTTGTGACTGAGGCACCTTGTCATTGGCCCCATAGATTCCAAGTTTAACTTAAACCAAAAATGACTTAGGGCTTGGTTTATGTTCTCATTTTTTATTCTTAAAAATTATTTTGTAATATGATTTTTAAAATTACTTTAAAATAAAATAAGAATTCATAGTTATATCAATTAAAAATAATTTTAAAATTAAAAAAATGGGGTTATAGGCCGTTAATGTTGGTCATTAATAATAGAAACTGATTAAGGTAAATATAATTTTTAATAATTGAATTTAGTGTATTTTAAAAATAAAAATAAAACAAAAAAATTTAAACTTGTTTCTATTTTTTTAAAAAATAAAAAATGAAAACAGTTTTGATAACTAAAAAACGCTTACCCAAACAAAATTTTACATTTTTCTATTTTAAAATAAAAAAAGTTTTAAAAAACGGAAAACAAAACATGCCTTTACACTTCCACTGTTTTATTACTTTTGTTCTCAAGACAAATTATGGGAGCTCCTGTACTCCCTCCAAATTATAATGTAAGTTGTTTTCAAGAATTATTTTGTTTGGTTTAAAATATAAAACATTGACTATGTGTATATATATATATATATATATTTCCAGTTAAAAGTATTTTGAATAAAGGAAATGCTATATTTATTATATTCAAGGGTATGATTAAAAAGATGTAAAAGTTTATAAAAAAGTTAAGATTTTAACTGACTATTTTTTTAGAAGTGTATATAAATTAGTTAACAATAATTTATATTGTAGTTTGGAGAGAGTATTACATATACGTTAAAAAATATAAAATAGAAAACTAGACATATTTGTAGCCTGTTTGGTTTTTATTCTCATTTTTTATTTTTAAAAACTGTTTTGTGATACAGTTTTTAGAATTGTTTTTTAAAACAGCACAAAATGAAAATCTGTTTAGTTATTATTACTTTAAAAACAGTTTTAAAATTAAAAAAAAACTGATAATGATGATTATAGGTGGTTAATAATGATAATTTATGATAAAAATTGATCAACATAATTGTAATTTTTAATAATAAAATGTAGTATATTTTAAAAATAAGAAAAATAAAACGAAAACAATTTGAAGTTATTTCTATTTTTTTATTTTAAAAACAAAAAAATGAAAACAGTTTTGCAAACAAGTAAATAGAAAATATTTAACCAAACAATTTTTTAATTTTTTTATTCTTAAAAATAAAAAAAAATTTAAAATAAAAAACAAACAGACTCTTGGTGAGTGGTGACTGCTTCAAGTGTGAAAAGAAACCACCAACTTAAATTGGTTGATTTTGGTTAATTTGGACCGTGGTGGCCAGCAAGAGGAAACGATGGCACCTCAAATTCTCTGCCCTACCTGCGACTAATTATGGTTGGGAATTTGGAGCCTCCTGCTTCAAATCTTTGATTATTTTCAAATATATAATTGTTGAACAGTCTCTTGTTTCCTTGATTGTTGCCACTATCAGATGCCATTTCCACAACACGCTTCAAGGTTTACAACTTTCCCCCACCATATTACAGTTGAATTCATAAGGCATAGAAAAACTCATGATTTCACATTTATTATGTATTACATTTTCTGTATAGGTCCACCTGAAATGCTGGTAGCACTAATCGCCATTTTAAATCAAAACACATTTAGAAAGTGGCAATTTTTTTTTGGGATAAAAAGGAAGTATCCACTCAGCGTGTCTGAGCAGAATTATTTACTTACTCTAATTTTTTTTAAAGAGTTAAATGTTAAAAAATATAAGACATTTTTTAGTTTTTCAAAATGTAATAATTACCTTTTTTTTAAAAGTATTTCTATTGATAATAACTTTATATTTATTATAGGTTGTTTAATAGAGATAAAAATAAAAAAATAAAATTAATTTGAAGGTAAATAATTCTTTTATTAAAAAATAAAATTTAATTAAAAATATTTTATATTTTTAAATGTAATTTGAAGTCAAAATATTAGAAAGGTCAGCCCGGCCAACCAGGCAGATTTTTTATTATGTATGAAAATCAAAATCAACAGCCCATACATTCAAAATGAAGATTAATGATTGGGAAAGCAAGAACCTACCTCAACAAGAAGAGGGAACACCGACTGTGCAAAAAAATAAAGATGAGAGTCTGATGTAGAGTGATAGAGACCGAGAATCCCAACGAACGAGTGCCCACGAGACTTATGGAGGCCGAGAATCAAAAACCCCTCAAGAATCGAGACCGAAAACGTGTTTTTTGGCAGTTAGAGTGACGAAAAATGAGTTTCGGTGGCTTTGGATTTGTTTCTGAAGACGAAGGATTTGCAGAAATGGAGAGCGAAAAAGAAATTTGGAGAAAATTTAAATGACAATACTTGACGGTTATTTCATAATAACCGTCAAGTATTACATACTTGACGCTTGTTTTAAAACAACCGTCAAGTATATGGCAGACAAACTTGATGATTATTTCAAAACAAGCGTCAAGTATGTGAAAAAATTTAATTTTTTTTCTACTATTAATTTGACGTTTGTTTATTGAAGACCGACGTGTAAATTTTTGCTTTATATGACGGTTATTTATAAAAAACATCAAATATATATACTTGACGATTATCTTTAAATAACCGTCAAGTATTTACTTAAATATTTGACGCTTGTTTCGTAGAAACCGTAAGTATTCTCCGCCTTTTTTATTTGTCATTTTTTTTAAATAAACGTCAATTATAGGGCATCAATTATACATCTTTCTGTAGTAGTGTCGTTATCATGATCACCACCAAAACAACTTAAATAACACTTACCTAACCTCAAAATCATCATAAAATTTGGACTCAATGGTTAGGTATCTCCAAAAACGAAAAACCTAACTATAAACTCTACAAAAACTAACTTAAAGAAGAGATTAGAGGGTGGGAATAAGATTAAACAAGCCTACCTCACTAATCTGAGCCTAAAAAAGTCCTTGGAATCAATGCTTCAACCAAAACCATGAGCAACTGGTTGAAGAAACCAACATGAGTACATTTGAAAATGGAGAAGATGAAAAAGGGGGAGGGAGATTTTCAGAGAAATAGAAGATAGAGTTTTGAGAAAATGATGAGAATAGGTGAGGAGGATCAACACCATTAAAGATTTGTAATTTCAAGCAAGGAAAATGGTGAGAAAACGTGAAAAATGACATTTGTGTGAGGAGAGAAAGATGAAGAAGAAATTTAAAAAGCTATTTACATCAATTTTTTAGGGAAATGATGTAGAAATTATAACTAAAATTGATGTAAAAAATAATTATTTTTTAAATTTTAAAAATTTTAATCACTTTCTACGGCTAGGCAACTGATGTAAAAAATCTTTTCTATATTGGTTCCCTACAAAATTGATATGGAAAGTCTAACAACCAAGCTTATAATTATAAAATTGTCATTGTCTTGATTTTCTACATTTTTTGCCTAACAACTGAGTAAAAAATTGCTTATAAAAGCCAAACTTGTACTAGTGATTGTGACCTTAAATTTGTGCAAGTATTTTTTCATTAGGTAGACAATAGTTAGTAGATATGTTGTTTCATTTACATAACATGCCATGTTTTAAATTTCAAAATTAAGTAGCATTTGAATTGATAGATTTAAATTTAAATTTTATATTTAAAATCTTACCTTTTAAATATCATATTTCAAATTCATTTATTTAAAATTATCCATTTGAGTAGTTTAAAATATTTCAAATAAAAAAGAAAGGTGAGTCGATGTTCGAAACTCAAAACGAAAACAAAAATTTAAAAATACTGAGTTTAACTCTATTTTTTTTATTGATAAGAGACAAGAATAAGAAAAGATATGACAGACATAGAGGTATTAATAATACAAACAAGAAGATAACATAATGTTTGAAGTGATTGAAATTTTAAAATGCTGAAGAATTACAATATATAAGGAATGAATTTAAATCTATAAATTCTTGTGCATCCAAGCAAGGGTTTGATCACAATCCAAATTTAAATTTAAATCTCCATCGATTCAAACACACCGTTAATGTATAAAGAAGGTTTTGAATCTTTAAATTTTGTATCAGTAAAATAACATAATAGTTATCAATAAAAGAGTTATTTGCATTTGAGAGTTTTTGTTAATTGCTTTTGAACAAAACGAGATTATATATATTGTTCACGTACATGACCTGAAATTCATAAAAAAAGTTGAATTTAACCTAGATATAAAAATATAAAAGAATAGATCAAATTCAGGTCATTAGCATCAACCAAAACTAGCTCCATGCTATTAAACGAATAAATTTTTATAGATTCATTTCTATATATCAAGTTCTTTTGTCGGATTGTTAAAATTTCTTGCGTTATAAATCCCATTCTTAAAATTTGAGATTATTCCATGGTATTCGTCAATCCATGCATGCCCCATCCAAGTATGAAAAAGCCATGCAATTTATGACGTCGTAATTAATTAATTAAAATGAATTAACAATGAACTGATGCAAAAGAGGACTGTATTATATAAGTAGTTTAATATAGAAGCTCCAGATGGACGTTCACCACCGGACCTAATGCTACCATAAATAGTTACATAAGATTTGTCAAACACTATAACACTAAAAGAAGTAAATTGGAGCGTGTTCTAAACACTTGCAAAAGCAGACATGATATGATGAAATGCCAGTTTGAAATTCAGAGGGTAGCAATAAAAAAAAAAAAAGAAAGAGCTTTAATTTCGCAAACGGTGATCAAAGGGAGGAGAGAGACTGAGAGAGAGAGAGAGAGAGAGAGAGATCAGATAAGTACTGAAAAGAAGTAAAAAGGTCAGGCGTGAAGGAGCAGCTAGCGTACACATGACGCCGAAGGATATTATATTATCCACATTGTGAAGGTTTGAAAATGTAACCCAGAACAGTAAAGTGGAGGGCTATGTGCCCTACACAGTACACACACAAGGCAAATTTTTTCAAATGAATTGGCTGTAGTATGGAATCGGAATACCTATAGTACAATAATGCATGCATGTACAGCCTAACTGTGAACGCTATTTTCCCCACCTTGTATTTCTGGTTTCCAGATCAGCACTGCAGATGGTGGGCTACAGTCAATGTCCTACTCCTGAATAATGCCTGAATTATGATGTATACTTGTATAGAAATTAATGACAATTAATCAACAAGTTCAATTCTTTTGAAAGAACCAAAGATTAATCCGTCTTGGAATTATTGAACAGTGAGTAGCAGAAGTTGAGCAAACCCAAATAGAAAGTGAATAATCTGATGATCGATCTCTCTCTTTTACACAATTATACCCAATATATCCAACTCCCACCTAGCCAGTCTAAAACAAACCTTAAAAGAGAACACAAAAATGGAACAAATATTAGATTCATTTACTCATAGAAATCCCCCACCCCGACCCAATTTAATCATCATACATAAAAGAAAGTAAGAAGCAAAAAGACCAGTCTCTTACATGAAGACATGATAATTATATGTACACTGCAAATACCAACTTACTGATCAACTATGGAGAAGTTGCACCAGGAAGGATTTTCCGCACTTCCACTTCCGATAGATATCTCTCCATTGGGGAATACTCTGACGATGAGACAGAAGAGGATCCGAGGTTCCTCTCAGCGCAATATAAGCAGTGTTCTCAACCTCAAGGGTGAGGATTATATTATTTGCAGCTGACATGATCGCTCCGATCCAAAACTCCTCCCATCTTTAGCTACTCATATATGTATCTTTTTCAATCTTTAACCCAACCCCTTTTTGACCCAAAAAAGAAAAAGTAGTGTATTGAACAAAAGAGGCCTAATTAATAGATAGAGCTGCAAAGAAAAGGACCCGAACATGACTAATTGAAACGAGAGGAGAGAGAGTGAGTGTCTGTCTGAGAGAGCGAGGTTGTTGTTTTTACTCGATCAGAGAAGTGACTGAAGGACCAACATTATTAGTTTGATCGTTCCAATAATAGGGTGAATAGTAATCGAACAAGCTCCCATGCTCCATGATCTGGTTGGGTCTTTCTTCATCGACTTTCAATTTTTCTAGTGGTTCTAAGCCCTGGAAAGTGCTAGTTCCTTGAACATTATCCTTCACACCTCCATTGATGAACTTCTGTTGCTGCAGGTTAGTACTGGGGCTTAGGAGGGAAGCTATGGAAGTTGAAGGAGAACTACCGAAGATCGAATTACCAAAGATGGAGTTGTAATTCGAGAAAAGTGAATCGCTTGAAGCGTACCCAGAGCAAAAACCCAATCCCAGGCCATTCAGACGAGGTTGAAGATGATCATACCCAGAATTGAAACTTGAAAATGGAGGATTCATGTCAGAATTCGAGTTACCGGGTAACCCATAAAACAGAGGATTGACATGGCTATCGACGTGGGGTTGAGAAGGAAGGTTTGAATTAGCAGCACTAGGAGGAGAAGAAGAAGAAGAAGGAGTGTGATCAGAAGCAGAAGGTGCTGGGCGCTTCATTCGCTTGTTTTTCCTGCACCCACCTCCTACAGGAACATTTCTCAGAGTGCCTCCTCTGGTCCAATATCGCTTGCAAGATTTGCAGAAGTGCCTTGGCTGAGACAAGCTATAGTTGTTGTAGTAGCAGAACTTAGTGTTGATTGAATCACAACGAGGACACTTGAGAGACTGTTGCTGCTGCTGAAGCTCCTGACCTGAAGGTTTCTCCATTGTCGTCCTCCCAGCAGAACCCATCGAGATCTTTTGATCACCTGTCTGAAAACAAGAAAAGAGAAAAAGGTTGGCGGTGGCGTTGTAGGGTAAAATAAGAAGAATGTTGAGCACAGATATTCGCTTCCAAACGCTATGCAACAAAACTGTGGTGGTCGTGTATTTGTCTAATAATTGAGACTGACAGAGAGAGAGAGAGAGGGAGGAAGGGAGGGAGGGAGGGAGAGATGGACCTGTGGCCATTCGTTATTCGTTGCGGGGATGACCACCATTTTCTCACAGTTACCCAACATTGAAACAGATAGTAAACACTAAACAGACAAAGAAAATAGAGCAAGGTTTTGGAATGGTGTTCTGAGTGAATTGTTGACGAATGAATAATGAACAAAGTCAGGGAGAGATAATGGAGGACGGTAGCGACTTAACATTATAAGACGAACATATTTAATTATGCGAGTGATCAGGCTGTATAGTTTCACGTGATGGGTCTGGTCTAAAATCGAATTAGGATTTTTTTATAATAACCAAAGTTAGAATATTAGAAAGGAATATAAGACAGACATTCGAAATCCAAGAAGAAGACAGACAGGTAAAGCAGAATGGGAGGTGAATCTTGAATGGTTCAAGAAAGAAAAGAGAACCTTGATTTGTGAGGAGACTATTACTCCCTCCCAACACCGCGTAACATTTCTCTGCAGAGAGAGAGAGAGAGAGAGAGAGAGGGAGAGAGAGAGAGAGAGATGCATGCAGAAGCACCCAAAATGATGCAGTCTATAGAGCAAATCTCACTTCTATCATTTTTATTTAGTCTAGTAACGGTCTAATGACGATGTTCATTCTAGATTTCAATAAATTTAACATAAAGTATTGCGTATAGAAGATGGAAAATATTTGATCAATCATTTATAGGCAACGGGGATTAGTAAATTAAGCAAGAAAAAATATATGCTTGTTTTCTTTTTTGGGCAGAAAACTGATGATAGGTGAGAACTATTGTGTTGTGGACTGCTGGAAGTTCCAAACTAAAGGGACAAAAAGCACCATGTAACGTATGATTTGAAATTTTGAATGTGGAAGGTTAACACTATTTTATGATTCTTTTTTCTTTTGTTCAGCTAGCGATAAAAAGGGTAGACATTTCTAATGATACAATTCATTTGTAGAATAAAAATTGCTTTTCTTGCCTGTGACTCAGCCAGGTTAGTTCTTGTGTCCTTTAACATTTCATGCTTTAGTTTTTATGTTTTTGTTGTCCTTAATGTTGGTACAACAGGTGGCGTTGGTGTCTTTGTCCATTCGTTTGCTTATCTGGATATACAAGCCTGGACCGCGAACAATTTTCTCAAGTAGTGGATACTCAATTAGTTATTATTGAGAGCGTCATGGGATCTGATAAGGCATACTTACCAATCGGATCCCATCTAAACCAAGAACTCTTATCCAAATTCTCCGTGCTAACCAAGTGGAAGATAGCACTTTGACTGTGAAGAGTTTTGTGCTTTACTTTCTCTCACCTCATACAGTCGCCCAAGAGAATTTCGTTGTTGATTTGTTTTTCTCATCAAACACAATAAACCGTTAATGGGGTGTCAGAAGAGGAAGAGGGAGAGAGTCCTGATGTGCAGAACCATGTGGCGGGCAGCTCAGCTTCTAAGGGGAAAAAGAATAAAAGAAGAATAAAGCAAAGCAGAGATGAGGGAACAATTGGATTTTGTAGTCTCCCAAGGGATCTCCTCCTCCTCCTTATCGCCCCATCATTATTCTACAGCAGACTTGTTCTCTCATTTCAACCTTGGTAATTGAATTTGTCTGATTATAATAATATTAGTCATCAGGATGCAATTCTAAACAAGAAACTACTACTTTTTTCCTGCTACCTGGGTGAATAAAGTGAAGTGGGTTTGGCTTCTTTGACCATTATCTGCACTGGTTTAGTCATTATGGGTCATGATTTAAGGTACAGCTTAATGTAATGTCTTTGAGAACAAAGTTAAACCCGCCTGAGTGAACATCATGGGTCATTTTACTCTGCCTTTGTCATAAATTTCTTGGGGTTTGAGTGTTAATACTAATACTGATGTGTTTGTTACAGGTAACAAGCAAGAGAGAGCATGGAGGAAGTGAGTCTACCTAGGGACCGACATGGGTCAATTTAGTGACGGAGGTGGGTAGGAGGTGGTGGTGGGTCCAACCAACCCACACCCAGCCACTCAGGACCCCACCACCATGGTCCATCTAACAAGAGATTCCAGTTTGGCAAGCATGAAAGAAACCCAACGTGCACGTTAAAGCCTAAAGGGAAGCCTGTAAATCTCTCTCTCTCTCTCACACACACACACACTCACGGAGTTGAAGCTTTGGGGACCACCATGAAATCCAATCCATAAACAGTGCGCAGACAAAGATCTCACTCTCAATTTGATAATTCATTTAACTTGATTATGGCCACACCTGTTAACACCCATGTGTTTGCGGAAGGAAATGACTCTCATGTCCTAATCATCTATCTCTTGCTTTTCTGTAGCAAGGACTAATCTGACTATTTACTTTCCATAATGGTGATGGTTCTGTATAAGGGTGCTCAAATCACTGTTCTTCATCTCACAATTAACACCGCGCAATTTTTTTTAAATGTGGAAATGAATACTAAATGTTTGACGATATGTCCAAAAGAATATGAATGGATTTTTGCGGACACCATATATTCCATATCGTGGACTCATATATCGTGTACCTCCTGTACTTATGCAGGGACGTTGATGGCTGTCGTATAGTCCAGAAATGTTAACCACAAGAGGGGAACACATGCTTTGGTTCATGATGGCATAATTGGCAATATTGATGGTTCCAAAAGATGATTCTGAAGTGTGCTCTGCTCATAACCATCATTTAACTCATTTACATCCTTGGTTGGTTTTAATTAAATCTATGCTAATTCATAGACCATATGATTTCTTCGAAAACCTTTAAAGGTTAGAGGAGGGAATTCACTATGACTTCCAGTGTAAACGGCATGATGACTCCTGTTTCTTTGAGCCAATATCTTTGAACCATGAAAGTCTTGATCTTATCCAATATAGTTGCCAATAATGAGAGGCAACAAAAAGGGTTGAAAGTTTATAAATTTCCAGTTGCTTTCATTAGTTTTTCTCATCTTGGTCTTCCATGTTTTAAGTTTATGCAGAATATTCTCAGGCATGTGTTATATGTGTTGCTTTCGGATCACCATCATAACATGACAGGGGTTAGGAACCTTGTTCCTCGGGTTTGATTATCAAATTAAGATAATTTATTAGTGAAAATTATCAAATTGGCTTATTTTATTGTATTTTTCAAGGTGTCTAATCCACATGGCAATATAAAAATGGACCACTAGATCATAGTGGAGATGAATTAGCAGCAACAGTAACAAGTCACACCTCGGGTTAGGACCACAGGCAGCAAGCAGCGAGTAGAAAACTCCAGTAAGGAACTGGCCATACACGGTCTTTTAATACCAAATCTATCAAAAATATTAGGTCACTTGTGGTTTGGACTCTTGTCTATGGAAGTTTCAAGATTTTCAATACCGTGGGAGTTGAGAATGTTTTGAAGGGATTATTCTACAGTATTATGGTACCAATATGCCCTAAGAACTATATTTAATCTCCTTTTTTCCTTGGAATGTGAAAGAGGGTGGAGGGGAGTCCAGAGATGATATAGACCTCAAGATTATTTATTTAGTGGCGGGAATCAATTTAGTTTGCGATTCTTCCAGCTTGACAATGACACTAAAAATAATAAGCACACTATTATGCCAAGTTAAGGAAAGAATAAAAAAGAAAGAAAAACAAAAGAAAAAACGTGATGCTGGCATGAAGTGTTTGCGTAGAATAAGAGTTTTGGAGAGTTAAAAAAAAAAAAAAGAAAAGAAAGGCTAGAAGTCTCGAAAACTCTTATTTAATAATATTTAAAAACTGAATATAAATGAAAAACCTAACTCTATTTATAAAAATTTAAAAATAATAAAATATTGATAATTTGAATTTAAATTATAAATTCTAAATCTAAATCAAATATTAAAGATACTGATATCTAAGATAACTCTGATAAAAAAAGATATTTAAGATAATAATAAAATAAATAATCAAAGTTAATCTAATGAATCAATATTCTTATTTAAATATCTTTGTTGGATAATCCTAATATCTTAAATTAAATCTAATTATATTCTATCTTATATTACACCGGTTAGTCTCCCAAGTTACAGCTCATATATATATGAAAATTAATATGAAATTGTGTTTTGTATAATATGATTAAGATCCATAAACTCTGAATGATGATGATGATGATGATGATGCTTTCATAATTATGTTTATTCTATATTTATTTGCTTACTCACATTCCCTTCATTTGTAGTCTTCTTGTTGTCCATCTTTACACAGTAGCTGCAGAGCATGAGCATGATGTGTGGCTAGAAAGCAATAATCATTCAGAGAGTATGATGAATATTTTTTTAAAACATGAGATGACTATGGACCCTGATTGGGATTTTCAAGGAAAGTGAATCGAGGTAGGTCCACAACCCTTGAGCAACAAGGTTCCATGGAAAATCCAAAAGTCTTGATAGAGTGTAATGAGCACACATATCTAAATCAGTATTTAATTACCCTCAATCAATCAGGTTTTGTGGTTTAGCTATTTTCCTAATCACGTCTACTATTAGATGGAATATATCTTTGTTATTTAGCTCAACTGAAGACCGCCACTGCTTTGGATAACCCTCACACATGTAAGATAAGCATTGGGCAACAGTGAGAAAGAAACCGGCCAAGGAAGGAAATTGTGTTGATGAGACTGAATGGGACTGATTTGAAGCAAAAACTGACCTGGTATTGAATTATTGATCATTGACTATAGAATTTTGTTTTTGTTTTTGTTTTTTTTTGAAAATTGGGTTGAAATTTCCAGGATTATACTTGATGTTCCATAAGCCAAATCAAGGAATCCTCACAGAGATTTTGCATATCTGATGAGAATATTTGAAATTACCAAGCCTGATCAACTGTGGTGAAATATTGTATTGACTAGACTGCTGAAATACTGAAGCAGTCAGAAGCTGATTATATGATGCTGTTCATTGTTATTTGCAATTATAATCCTTTGATTGTCACAAACAATTAAAACAACTAAACAAGAAGTAAATCTTCCATAGTACAAACAAGAAAATAGGTTGTGCTTCCAACACTTCGCCATGCTAGCTGAATCAATATTTCCCAACCTCAGCTTGACTTTACTTGTCCAACCTCTCAAACATGGTGCTTACGTACACAGGCGTCACAGTTTTCTTTCTCTTGGTTCATGACAATGCTAGCTAGCAAGGGACCAAGTATCAATTTAGAATGTTAGTACAATTAAACTACCATGGACTCAGTTTATTTCCAGGTTTGCCTGGAGTGCAAGTGTTGGTCTACACCCTTGATAGATTAGGCCAAATGAGCAGAGGCTCAATTTGAGTTAAATAATTATTTATTTAATCAAATATTATGGGGGTGGTGGTTACAGAGAGTGTAACTGCTTAAATTTATGTCGTGATATATGGGAGATTTTACACTATTCTGAAGACATGGCTCATATGAAAAACTCCTTCCCTCTGCCTATTTTTCTCACTTCTTTCTCTTGGTGTATCTACCGTGAAAACCCATCCGAGGTTCATTACTTTAACCTGGTGCTACATGTGGTTCAAGAGAAGTCTAGGGTCACTGGAAGAACGTTTTCGGACTCCATCTTCTTAAA